AATTCCGTCTAATTACTTAAATTTACGGCATTGATTAACTTGTGCATCTCACGTGACCCACTTAACCCTACTTTTCTTTTATTCCCCCCTTCCTTTCCCTCAATTCATCCCCCTCTTCGTCACTCCTCTTCATCATAATTTGGTTTTTATAGTCTTTTACAATTGCATGGGAATGTAAGTGACGAAGGGGCCGGGTAATGAATGGAGGGAAAAGGGGGGAAAATAATAGAAAAATGGAGTTAAGTGGCATTCAGGCGAGCCGCCCGGTGGTGTGGTACGTAGTGGGTTTAGTACGCTCAGCCAAAACGGCTCCGGAGTACGGTAGAATTCCTCGGTACGGTCATTCGGGAAGTCCCTCCGAAGAGGACTCCCATACAATTCTTGCGAGAGCTGGAGAAGCGGAGAGGGATTGGATTCGAGAGTTAGGGATCCTAAACCGATAAGAACCACACCAAAGCTGGCTGGACCAAGAACAGTTGATTTAGGATGGATTTCACGTGAGGTGCACATGCTAATTATCGCCGGAAATGTCAATCAATAGTTGAAATCCAAAAAGTAGTGGTGGGTTTCAACAAAAAAAAAATTTAAATAGGTGTGCTTTGACAAAAAAAAAAAATTATAAGATGATTTTCAACAAAATTTGGTTTTTATAAGATTTTTTTTTTTTTTTTTGAAACTTGGTTTTAATAAGATGGTTTTCAACAAACTTTCCTTTTTGTTAATTCACCATATTTCACTAAACTTTTTTATGTTCTTCATATACCGCCGAGTTTTCACCAAAATACACCACATACCCTCGATGACTAATGCTTGTTATTTTCGTCAGTCATAAGGTTAACTATGACCCGATACCACCCCTTAAATACATCCCCCTACCCTCGAAACCACCCACATTTCTCCTTTTCACCCCAAACCACCCATAATTTTTTTTTATCTCATTCCCAAAACCAATCAAGAGAATATGATTATGGAGATTTTGAGTAGTTTCGGGGGTTGGAGAAAGGAAAGGAGTGGTTTCGAGGACGAGGGAGAGAGATCAAAAGTGGTTTCGATGCATAATTAACCAATTGGATTCATCTGGTTGTCATTAGGGTATAAGGTGAATTTTTGTAACAACTCAAGAGTACATGGTGATTTTGAAAATTTTTAGGGGTACATGGTGGATAAACAAAAAAACTAAGGGGTATATGGTGAAAAACCCGTTTTACATACAATGGACATACATTTATCTAATGTAAACGATATTTAATAAATAAATTTCTACACACGCCTACAAAAAAAGGAGAGAAAATTTGAATATTATGAATCCAAGATGTATACTTTTTTTTTTTTGGAACAATCAATTCATTAATAAAAAGCAATTTGACATCTACAATGAAATCTAAATTAACAACTACATAAAATTGAATCAATTAGAGTTTTCTTCATCAAAGTTATGATCGTTGAAAAAATCTTGCACTGTTGTACATATCTCGTACACATCGTTGGAATATACAACCTTTTTGGAGAGATGGTCTAACAATTTGTTGTAGCCGTCAGGATGATTCTCATCTGATTCGCCTAAACACATATGAAAACTTGAAAACCGTTTCAATCTAGAACAAATCTTTACAAAAGAACTGACAATAGGGCATAAGATGATTACCTTTTTGATGAATCCTAACACACAAACAAAGCCTAAGCATAAACAAACAACTAAACTAACAAAAACTAACGACTCCACCATAGGGAGACACAAACAAAGCCTAAGCATAAACAAACAATTAAACTAACAAAAACTAACGACTCCACCATAAGGAGACTGTCAAATATTTACACTACTTGTGTAGATTTATTGAAACCTAAAAACTAAATAAAATTAAGAAAAAAAGGGTAAAAAATAGTCTAATTTCAGCCTAAACAGCCAAGATTTTGGACAAACCCTAGAAGAGAGGATGAGAAAAAAGGAGAGGAGATCCAAGGTGTATACTTAATTTCTATGCATTTCAATAAAAAATAAAATGCCAATAAGTAAAAAAATTCTCCATCACTAACTCTCCTAAATTGCTAAGACAGATGTAATGTAACAAAATATCATAATGAACCTTAATCTATCCTTTAGAAGACGTATCTTACCGTGAAAAAAAATACTAATAATTGCTGAAAAAAAGATTCAGAATTTTAAAATATAGAAAAATAGAAATCGTAAATACATCATTTAATTTCACCAACAGTCCAACAATAATTGCTGAAACAATTAAATTATACGCTTTAATTACACTTTGGCATTTCATGAAAATATCCTCTAGCATAATCCGTGGCATGCCGACATAGATAATACGTTGATATGTTGATCACCTATGGCACTGATACCTTGAAGGCCATACCACAATATCTTCTTGCCCCTTGCAACAATCTCATCGCACCCAATTATTATTTCACACGTTGAGAAATCCTCACTTTATTTTATACTCACTTTTTCCTATATATCAATATCCATGATTTGATTTGAAAAAGTTTATCTTAGCTTATCTATTAACTATTACTAAAATAGAAGTTGCTGACATCACCTTTATCCTCGTGTCGCTTTCTTAATAAAAAAAATTACGTCGAAATGCAATGATGATGTCACTTTTTTTTTTTTATTATTATTATTATTTTTATAGAGTTATCATATTTAACATTTTTGAGATTTCAATATTGGAAACTTCTACATTACAATTAAAATCTATCAATTTATCGTTGGAAATTGAATTTTTTTTTTATTAGCACACTAATAAATGATCTCTTACATTAAACTATAAATTAGACAAAGTTGAACAGATACTATATAATAATTTTAATTAAAATAAAAAAAATTAAATTTACAAAATATATGTAAATTACAATTGGAAATTGAAACCTATCAATTTATCGTTGGAAATTGAAACCTATCAATTTATCGTTGGAAATTGAATTTTTTTTTATTAGCACACTAATAAATGACCTCTTACATTAAACTATAAATTAGACAAAGTTGAACAGATACTATATAATAATTTAATTAAAATAAAAAAAATTAAATTTACAAAATATATGTAATTCTTATTTATATTCATGTATAATAGCGATTTTTTTTTACAGTGTACAAATTAAAAATAGGCTTTATATAAACCGTGCACGGCACGGGTTCTAACCTAGTAAACCTGTATTCAATTTGTCAATGAAATTAATTAAAACTTACACTATTCACACATTTTACGTCTTTTACGATCTTCATTTTACGCAAAACAGCCGGACTCCGGAAATTTTGTAATTCATTCAAAAAAAAAAAAATTTTTTTTTTTATTTTATGTAACTTATTTTCCAACCCAATAGATGATAAAACTTTATTGATGGTAAATATATTACTAAATTGATGTGAAATATATAAAAATGGAAACAAGCTTAAAAATATCATACTGTGTAATATAAAAAGTTAAATCTTCAACCTCTAAATCGAACCTAAAATTTAATCTAGACGTATGCTCCCGTTAATCAACCTTTACTCTCAATAATTGTTTAATTATCACTTTTTTTTTTTACAAAATAATATGATGGTTTAATTGTATTGATCATGGTCAAAATAAATTTGTTTTTTTTTTTTTTGGACAAAGAATTTGAATATTTTGATTCAAATTAAAAACTTATATTATGAACATATTAGTCAATATATGCAATCTCCTGTCCGTTATTATTTTGAAGCCTTAAGGTATAGTCTGATATATCTTACAATTAATGCACTAAAAATGATCCTATTAAAAAGTTCATACTATATAATAACTGTACAGTGTTTTATAGAAAAATCAAGTTATAAGGAATTTACAAATAAACTAAACTTATTAAATTGTTGTTTTAACTTTTATAAGGGACAAGGTTATCAAAGATTGATATTCTAAGTGATAAAAAAATATTAGTAATGGTATCTTAAAATCAATAAATTAAATGAGATAAAATAAATTTGTTAATTCTGCTAAATTTAATAATATTATAATGAATAAAAATTATTTTTAATATGAAATGATAAAGTTAGCTACTTGTTTCAGGAATTGTGTGAAATTAAAATTAAAAGTATGTACTCCCTCCGTCCCCTTTTAATAGTCCCTTATGGACATTTTTCACATAAATTAATAAACACAAATAAGAATAGTTAAACTACATTGAAAAAGTAAGTTGACATTGAGTATGCAAAAAGGTAAAAAAAGAAAGTAATAAAAGTACATTATTGTTGCAAATTGGAGGGAATTTTGGTAAAAATTTAATATTAAGGGTTGTTGGAAAAAACAAATGGGGTGAACATTGTGGGACTAAAATTTATTCATAAAGAACTATCAAAAGGGGACGGATGGATTATTTAAATTTTAAGATGAACATTTGAGAAACTCGTCCGAACATTTTACTGTTTTATTCTAATTTCCAATTTACATTATTATGAGATGAAAATAGGTCAAATCTAACCATTCACGCCTATTTTTGTAGATGGATCCATATCTGGCCAAGATCATTGGGTCATCTAAAATTTTCAGTGCCAAACTGATGCATATAGCGACTTGGTTTTAAAATGGGTCTTTAGAAAAAAGAAAAAAAAAAAAAAACTGTTATAGTAAATTTATTTTATTTAGGTTAAAGTTTCTTTTTATATTAAATATAAAAATGAGTTTTTGGATCGGATCTGAGTCGGGCCGGGTTTAAATCCAAGCTTACATAAAATTCATAGAAAAAAATCAAGTGTGTAAGTAGGGTAATTTTGGTTATGTAACTTTTAAGAGTAACAAACCAATTTCAACTTTGAAAAAATCAATATTCAATTATTCACAATGCATTGCACAAAAACCTAATTAATTGCAATCAATACAGATCATTTGTTAGCAAAACACGATATTATTTCATCCAATACTCCAATAATATACACTACAAGCCAAGTATAATAATTTAACAATTAAATGTTACACAACTACTATTGGCCCTATCCCCTCATAAATTTTGTTATAAATACATGTGATACTCTTTGCCTTTTCTCATCCAACCAAAGATAAGCAAACTAATAAACCCTCAAATAAGTTTGAAGTTTCTTATTTTATGAAAATGGCCTACTCAAAGGCTTTATTTCTTGCCCTCTTTGCTATAACTCTTCTTATCTCTACTGAAGTGTTAGCTCGTGAGCTAGCTAAGTCCGAAACTGACCAGACTCGTGAGTTTCTTACTCTTTCCAATAACATCGACAGTATTGTTGCTTAAGTTACATAATAGTGTCTACATTATTTATTGCAATTTTGAATTTATCGTTTTATTGCGTGATGCATTAGGTTTATGCTACCTTCATTCTAAAATAATTGACATCAAATTTTTGCACTATCCATGTATATTGACATTGACTATATAATTTGACTAATATACAGAGTATGAAACAAAAATGTTCCATACTAGTATTTTGTAAAGTATTGTTCAATTAATTTTTTTAATAAATATTTTCATTGTATCTATTCTATAATACATAATTCTTACTTTCTTAGTAATATATATTTCCTCAATCAAGTTTACTATCCACAAGTTTACTGATTTTCATACTATCTATTTACTTATTTATAACTTTTATTATTATATTTTATATTTTTATACTACGTATTAAGTTTACTAACACATAAATTCAATGATTAATAACACAATTATATCTATAAGTTAAACTTCCAAATCACAAAATGTATGCAATATAGTATCAACCATAAAGAATGGTAAAAAGAATTGTAAAGTAGGGTTTGTAAATAATATCAAGATTCATAATGTATCAACCATAAAAGAATGGTAAAAATAATTTGTGGATTAACAATAATTTTGTGCGTGACTGTGCGACAATGGACTTATTTTATGCCGAATCAAATGGATTATAAGAGTGTAGTGCATTGATTTGACCAATAATGTTTAAATGTAAAAGGCATATGTTAAAATAACGTATCGGTTATTATAACTTTCTACATAAAAAGCTTATACTTGTACTAGTACAAAGTGATTAATTTAAGGGTTAAAGCTTTAATTAAGGGAATAGAATTTTGCAATGTTCTCATCATTCTGTTTCTTAAGGTTATATACATAATACGGGTTTGTATCAGGGAAACCAAAAAAATATATATAAGCATTGCATATCCTGACAAATTTGTTTAGACGTAAATTTTTAAAATATCAATTTTTTTTTTCTTATTATATTTACTAATACATTATATAAGATACTAATATGTAAGTAATCTCCAATCAATTCAACTATGTACTTAATAAATTCTTAAAAAAAAGGGGTCTTCAATTAAAAAATCTATTGCCGCATATTTCGTAATAGGGATTTTTAGTAACAAAAATCTGTGCGTTAAATGGATATATGGAATATATAATGTCTATGATTATGCTTTGCAGATTCTGTTGAGGAATCTAAGTATGGTCGTAGTAGAGGATATGGCGGACATGGTGGCTCCTACGGAGGTGGCTCTTATGGACACGGTGGTGGTAGTTATGGACATGGTGGTGGTAGTTACGGACATGGCGGTGGTGGCTATGGAGGCGGCGGACATGGTCATGGTGGACACGGAGGTCATTATCCACCTAAAGTAGAGGAGAACAAAGATCAAAAGAACGAAGCCGTGGAGCCTCAAGGGTATGGAGGAGGTGGCTACAGCCACGGTGGTGGATATGGTGGTGGAAACTATGGACACGGTGGTGGCAACTATGGCCAAGGTGGGGGAAACTATGGACACGGTGGCGGCAACTATGGACATGGTGGTGGTAGCTACGGACATGGTGGTGGCGGCTATGGACATGGTGGTGGCGGCTATGGACACGGTGGTGGCGGCTATGGACGTGGTGGATATGGCCACGGTGGTCATGGTGGTCACTATCCCCCACAGACGACTAAGACTGTCGAGAAACAAATTAAAGTGTAAGTGACCGAGTTGTAGCTCAAAAATAAAGTGTGTATGTATGTACATGACTTTTATTACGTTTGTGTCTTAAGGAATTGAAAAAAGAGAATATATATGAATGTTGGGAAAAATGCATTGTATTGTATAAGTTGATGTTAATCCAGCATGTAATGATTCTCTCAACCTTTGTAATGTGCTTCAGATTATGCAATGTAACGACTCTCTGTTAAGTTGTTAGTTATATCTTACATGTATGAAAGGAAGTTGTGTTAGTAGTATTACACTCCTACGTAATATGTTGATGCATCTAAATACTACCTTTCACTAGTAGAAAAATACCAAAGGGCACCGGTTCAAACCCGGCCTAAGGCATCGGTTTGAACCGGTTTCAATGTCGGGGGTGCCAATTACCCCCTTTTTACACCCGGTTCAAAACCGCTGCCATAAACCGATTTTGGCACCGGTTAACCAGTACCTTTAATTATTTTGGCCACCGGTTAACCGGTGCCTTAAATACTCGCGCACATTATTTTTTTTGGTGGCAGCTCTTTTTGGCACCGGTTAACTGGTGCCTTTTCAGTTAGTTTTTTTTCCTTTTTTCTTGCAATAATATAAAAAAAAAACCATGTTATTCCAGCAATAATAACCTGTAATTCCAGCAATAATATTAAATAAAATGATTAATAATATTATTATTATAATTACTAATAATAATAATATTATTATTAAATATTATAATAAGATACAAATAATATTAAAAACAAGAATTCATATATATATAGATATAAATATTCCCAAATGCAATACAATAAAAAAAAGTGTTATACATATATATATACAAATGATAGTAAGTAAATAATGAATAATAATATAGTTAAAAAGTTAACATAAATTTACAATTAAAATGACATTTACATGTTGAAGATGATAAAAGACGCCAACATGTCACGAACTTCATTAAGTTCCTTGATTGTCAACGGACCATCCTTTTGTACCTTGCAAAACTTGAAATACAAAAAATTATGTTAGAATTAATCAATTAGGCAAAACAATATGTATTTTATCAAATATGACCTATATGACTTCTATTTAGCCCATTTCCTACATTTCTTATCAAATGAACTATTTCTTTCTCATAACATGTCAATATCACCTAGTTTTATGTGTCTAAACCATAAAATTGAATCAAAAGAGCATTTTATTAAGGTTTAAGACTTTTTTTACTCAAAATGGCCCGAATACGGCCTATATGACTTTACTTTGCCCATTTCCTACATTTCTTATCAAATGAATTTTGTTTATCTCATAACATGTCAATATTATCTAGTTATGGGTGTATAAGGAAAGAAATCACATCAAAAGAGTATATTAACACAAAATGGCCCAAATATGGCCCATATGACTTCTATTCAACCCATTTTCTACATTTCTGTTCAAATGACCTATTTATTTCTCACAACATGTCAATGTTGGGTAAAATTAGATTTCTAAGGCTAGAACTCACATCAAAATAGCATTTTATTAAGTTTTAGGACGCATTTTACTCAAAATGGCCCAAATATGGTCTATTTGACTTCTATTTAACCCATTTTCTACATTTCTTATCAAATGAGCTATTTCTTTCTCATAACATGACAATGTCACCTATTTTAACGTGTCTAAGCCCTAATATTGAATCAAAAGAGCATTTTATTAAGGTTTAAGAGGCTTTTTTTACTTAAAATGGCCTGAATATGGCCTATATGACTTTACTTTTCCCATTTCCTACATTTCTTATCAAATGAACTTTATTTATCTCATAACATGTCAATATTATCTAGTTATAGGTGTATAAGGAAATAAATCACATCAAAAAAGCGTATTAACACAAAATGGCCCAAATATGGCCCATATGACTTCTATTCAGCCTATTTGCTACCTTTCTTGCCAAATGACCTATTTATTTCTCATAACATGTCAATTTTGGGTAATATTAGGTGGATAATGCTAGAAATCACATCAAAATAGCATTTCATTAAGTTTTAGAACGCATTTTACTCAAAATGGCCCAAATATGGCCTATTTGACTTCTATTTAGCCAATTTCCTACATTTCTTATCAAATGAACTATTTCTTTCTCATAACATGTGTCTCAGACCTAAAATTGAATCAAAAGAGTATTTTATTAAGGTTTAAGACGCTTTTTACTCAAAATGGCCCGAATATGGCCTATATGACTTTACTTTGCCCATTTTCTACATTTCTTATCAAATGAACTTTATTTATCTCATAAATTGTCAATATTATCTAGTTATAGGTGTATAAGGAAATAAATCACATCAAAAGAGCATATTAACACAAAATGGCCCAAATATGGCCCATATGACTTCTATTCAGCCATTTTCTACTTTTCTTGTCAAATGACCTATTTATTTCTCATAAAATGTCAATGTTGGGTAATATTAAGTGTCTAATTCTGGAAATCACATCAAAATAGCATTTCATTAAGTTTTAGGACGCATTTTACTCAAAATGGCCCAAAGATGGCCCATTTGACTTCTATTTAGCCCATTCCCTACATTTCTTATCAAATGAACTATTTTTTTCTCATAACATGTCAATGTAACCTAATTTTATATGTCTCAGCCCTAAAATTGAATCAAAAGAGCATTTTATTAAGGTTTAAGACGCTTTTTACTCAAAATGGCCCGAATATGGCCTATATGACTTTACTTTGCCCATTTTCCACATTTCTTATCAAATGAACTTTATTTATCTCATAATATGTCAATATTATCTAGTTATAGGTGTATAAGGAAAGAAATCACATCAAAAGAGCATATTAACACAAAATGGCCCAAATATGGCCCATATGACTTCTATTCAACCCATTTTCTACTTTTCTTGTCAAATGACCTATTTATTTCTCATAACATGTCAATGTTGGGTAATATTAGGTATCTAATGCTAGAAATCACATCAAAATAGCATTTCATAAAGTTTTAGGACTTACCTCATCAAGTTGTTGAATGTCCGTACAATGAGTCACTATGTCAAGCATGAATCTCATCACATACAAAGCACAATCAAGTCCATTTTCTTGTTGTGCGCACTAGCATATGACAAACAAATCACATCAGTGAAACATGCAAAGGAAAAATTAGCAAATATTTACTAACATAGGTTTTGATGATAATCACAATATCATGTAAATTACCAACGGTGACTTCCATGTTGGACCCTGAGGAGTACGACAATGTAGCTTCTTCATAACAATTTAGTAAATAAAGTACATTCAAATTTGATTAGCCGTTTGACTACTAAATTAGTTATTATTAGCAATAACCATCACTAGATAGCTATGTATATTTACTTTTGCAATATAGACTTCACTAGCCACTTCTCCGATGATCGAGCTGAATCAAGGTGATAAATTGTGTTATTGGAATTACAAATCACCATGAGGCTCCAATGCTCCCTACATAAGTTCACAATAGAAAAGAAAATTAATATTTAGGAGTCAACATATAATGAGGCCAAATCGATTGAATTTGACATGGTTAGACTTACTCTTTATAACATGGGGCGAATATGAACTTGTCTCCCGCACGCGCTGATTCCCTGATACACTGTTCAACATAGTACAACACGTCACGGGGGTTGTCTATGATTCTAGTAGTGGATAACTGCTCGGGGCATAACCACCCAACTTTACAAGGAGAATCAGTTTCAGTTAAGTGCTCCTATAGTGCTCTACATGCATGAACATTGAATAATTAATCACATGTAGGATAATCACCATAAATTTGAATAACTTGAAAAAAGTGTAGATTATGTGGGCATTGAAGTACCTCATGAATGTTTGAATGAGGGAAATGCTAAGCTTTGCCCCACGTAGAAATTCCTTCACATCTTCTTTGCTGATCCATGCAACTATATCCTCATCATAGTGGAACATTGCCTTAGGAAGTGCAATATCCATGGGATCGACCAAATGAAAAGCACAATTGTAAAGAAAGTTCATGTCAGCAAAGAGTGATTGAAGAACAATTGATTAGGGGATTTTTATCCACCAATCACCGTCTGACAAGTGCACCAACCAGGTTCCGCCACGTGTCCTTCACGAAGGACAACAGGAGCTTGCCACGTGTCAATCACAGATACGTCCTCTACGGACCACTTTAGACACGCCACGTGTCCACCCATGCCAAATGGGACAACCGGCCATCAAGGCCCAATTCAGTATAGAGGCCCGATCAGCCCTAGGTTTACCTTAAACCTAGAGAGTTGCACGCTTCTCAAGGCTATAAATACTCGATTAATCCTCATTAATCACAGGATCGAAGAATCACGAGATCAAGCAGAGAAGAACAGAGTTATTAACAACCGGCTAATCTCGCTAACGACGCAGATTACCAACACTAAACACTCTCACCTAGAGAGATCTCATTACTATAATTTCTGTATTAATTACTCCTTAATCAGGTACTAACTTGACCGTTGGAGGCGGAGCTCTCAGGAGTCTCCGTTATTTTGCAGGTACAGGCGTCCGGTTCCAGTCTCGGAATTGTAACTCTCCCGCAGGACATCAGAAAACCCCGAAACATTTGGCGCCGTCTGTGGGGAGAGTACTTCAGAGATGGCATCCAAGTCTGTACCGACTCCAGAAGAGAGGCGTCCCCTAGACGACCCTCAAGTTCAGTCGGACCATGATACCGAAAGTGAATTTGAAGTTGAAACTCATACAGCTCCAGACGGGACCCTAAGGGCCCGACGTACCCGTCATACCGAAATGAGGGAACGGGAGTATCCTCAAACAGGAAGCGAGCCAGCAGGCGCATCGCTTGCTCGGCAACAGCCGACTGATGGGTCTGCTCCCATCACAAGGAACGAACTCATGACCTTCATGAGGGACTTCAAGGGAGAGATCCAAGAGTTGATCAACAAAAAACCGCCTGCTTCAGTCAAAGAGCAGTCGGCCAAGAAACCTTCCACTTCACTGAAGAGGAAGCCAGTTCAAGGGCGAGAGGCGACTCCCCATCCTAAATCCAAGAAGCGGGAGCCGTCTGCTCTTGATTTCACAAAACTCCGTTATCCTACGGGAAATAGGAAACCGGTTCGTCATATTCAGGCGGACGGGTCAAAGCAAACGTTCACAGATGCTCGGCACCTGCTAGAGCAGAAGAAGAGTGACCGATTATCAGAGTCGGCTTCTACTTCAAATCTTCATGACAGTTTGCGAAATGCCTCGATGAGGCATACTCAGTCGTACCATGAGAGTCAGTCAGGCGGCACCTCC